AGGCAGGTAGGCCATCCAGTTATTTTAGTCGGGCCGGCTAAAATGATTGGTCGTGGTTTTTACAGTACTACGGCTTCCACAGATGAATTTTTTGTATGGATTTGTTCAGAGTCATTTCTCTCTAGGGCTCTGGATTTGTTGTCAAAGCACTTAATATTCATTGCTATCTGGATGTTAAGAGCATTCCATGGAATCTAACAAAAAGTGTATCTCGAGCCGGTTTCTCAAACTTACCTACCCTACCTTTACGTTTGGAATATTAAATGGAGAAATGTTATCAAACAAGCAACTGAATTGATTAAACATTGAGGCCGTTGATCCATAATGAAAATAATTAGTTGCAATCCTGTATACAATAAATAGAAATTAGCTTCATCTCACAACTACAACAGTAAAATCCTGCTTATACATTAATACATGAGTAATGATGATATATATAAGTATTAGTACAGTCAGGTGTCATTTCTCTGCATTGATTACTTTCAATATGTTCCTAAATATACACTCATACTTTTTAATACAACACATAAGGTATTTAACAGAGTGGTAATAGTATTTTTATCAAAGGACAGGAACTGAATACTTCCTCCATCACCGTTTAGATGAGGATTCGGGGAAATAAATGAAGAAACATTGATAAAGAAGAACATAAGAAAGTATAATATATCAGAAATAAAGGTCAGTTAACTGGGTGTAGAGGATGTGACTCAGACCCGGTTGTGTCCAATGAAAGCCTTCAAATCTCAACAGTGACGCACCAGGCCGCCCCGTCCTGCCTTTGATGCTCCAGGTGTGAGATACCATCAACCGAGTCATCAGTTCCATTTCATTACCAAGTTATTAAAATTATCTCCACATTACCCATAATCCACTATGTGACGTTCAACATCTGAAATGTAGAAAATACTTCGTGTCCCGTTGAAGAAAATATAAGCACGGACGTAAAGGTTGATAAAGAGTCAGATCACATTCTTTTATACCCGTTTGATAACTTAAATGGTGCAGTAAAACTAAAGTCAGGAGCAGAAACATGCATTTTATATGACTTTAAAGACAAAAAATAAAATTAAATAAACAGTAAAAAAAAGAATATATATTATTGTTTTACATTTTTATTACTGTTTGTGGAAAATAAACAAAAGCACACATTAATTAAGACATCTGCTGTTAAAATTGTGTTTGTTTTCTGCTCTTTAGGGGGACTTAGTCGTGCATATTAATGACAAATATTTTGTTCTTAAAACATAACAAATTATAATAATCTTATAGACAGTTTTTATTCACATGGTGTTACCTGGTTAGTTCATTTTAATATATAAAAACAGTTTTGATAAAAGTAAATCATAAAAAAAGTATCCGTGATCCAGCAAGTTGCGTGCCAATGTTCAAGGTAATAATACTGTTTATACTGGGAAGACACGTTCCTTCATTGAACTCGAAAGCTTTGACATTAATTACAGCGCATACATTGGGTTGCAGCTTCACAGCAGGTACATTTCAGTGTTGGTTATGTTGTTTACGTCGAGAAGCTGCAGCTGGTCTTCAGTTAGGCGTGCTGAGACCACAGGAACCGATCGCAGCGCTCCAGCATCGTCTGGATCATCGCTCTGAAACAAAAACTAAATATTTAGAAATGCAATACCTCAAGATGAAGAATAGCCAAATGAAACTGATTCTCTTTCATTATAGAAGAAGCAGTTCCCGAGCTGTCATCTCATACTTCATTCACACATTTTGGTTCAAAATCTACATATCACAAGGTGACTTTTAGACTCAATTGATTACTGTCAAACACATTACATTTGATTTAGCGGTCTGTTTTATCCAAAGCAACTTACAATAAGTGCCTTTAACCATGAAAAAGCAGGATTCCTCCAAGTATTAGCTTCAAATAAGCCAATCCTCTCTGAGTGCTTCCTAGCGAACAGATCATTTTAAAAATTAAATTCTATATATTTGCCAAGGAACAGTCAAAACAGGTGGGTTTTCAGTCTGCCACAGAAGATGTGTAGGCTTTCTGCTTTCCTGATATCAGTATATTCCACCATTTTGAATTCAGGATAGCCAACGTGACATTTTGATGTGGTACCTGGGTCACACATGGTGAACGAGTAGCGAGCTGATTGGTCAAAGCAGAGAGATGAGCAAATGAACACATTTCCCCCTCCTACGCACGCCGAACCACTGAACCTTTTTAACCCCGCGCTCTTCAAGAGGCGCATTTAATAATATTGCTAATGAATGAAAATAATAATCAGTAATTCCTGACTGACCTCTGCCTCTTCTCAGTCACTCTCAGCAGCTCACAGACCAGTTTGGAGTGGGGCGAAAGGTCGAGCTGCACCCCGCACTCCTCCAGGACGGCCATGGCGCGGTCAGGCCCGGCGCAGCGAGCCAGCATCAGGGTCAGGGTCTCCGGGCTCATCTTCCCTCCACAGTCGTCTGAGCCGTTGGACCAGCCGCTCCCATTCACACCGGTCAGCTGATCTGAGTCTGAGGCCCCGCTGCAGCGCTGAGACAACCGGATCAACAGCTTCCACTCCTCCAGGGTCTGAGGCTCCACCCCTGGACAATAACAGCGGGACAGGACAGACATTAGACTATCATGGGGTTTTATGTTTCAAACGTGTCAGTTAGTTTCATTAGGGTTGTTTCTTTGGGGGATGAGTGCCCATAGGGTCATTAATAAAAAGGATTTCTACTGATGTATGACTAGATTCTTAGTGTAAAAAAGGATGACCATTGTTTGGACCAAGCAACAGCAGGGCTTAAGAGAAAGAAACTACGTTATATTTTGGTAGACTAGGTTATCTAGAATGTTTATTATACTGTAGTATGATAAGTAATAGTATTGAATCGTTTTCATTGAATAAACTACACGATAACGTTTACAGTTTTGTGTGACTAAAATGTCCAGACATTTAGTCAACTCAAAAAGATGGATGACTAAATATCATAAAAACTAACAAGGACATTTGACAGGACTGAGACTACATGAACGATTGTTGACCAGATGTATGCTGCTGTTATGAACTCTCCTTTCAGCCAATTGGAAATAATAATTGTGATTCTGTGTGAAGGATTTACCACCAGCTTCCTGCAGCAGGCTGATGTCATCCAGCCGGCAGATGGCGGAGAACGCCTCGGTGCGGCGCTGCAGCTCACAGCAGAGCGAGATGTAGCCCGTCCAGTATCTGCACACACACATTATGCATGATGTCAAAAAGCTAACTTCAAAACGAAAAACCAGCAAAAAAATGACTTTGGAAAGTTCGAAGTACCCGTGACTGCGGCACGTCTCCGCCATCTTCTGCTTGGAGGACAGATCTGCAGGAAGGCGGATCAGGAGAGACAGGAGGCGTCCGTAACCCCAGCTGAAACAGTGAGAGTGCCACCTGCAGCAGGAGTCACATATTTATTAATAAACTTCACTTTCACTTTATTTTTGTAGAAGAAGTGAAATGTACACATGATAGTAACTAGGTCCATCTCACACTGGAAACCTGCTCTTTAAGTGAATGTTAAAAATGAATAATCCTAAATCTATTTTTGACATTTTCCACACACAAACCGGACCAACCTGGGCTCTCCATCGGGGGTCAGCGTGTCACAGCGTTGAGGTGCATCGTGGGTAAGTGCCAGCTCCAGCCAATCCTGTCTGAGTGATTCTGGTTCAAGAAGGGACTGCAAAAATGACAACCTAAGGAAGAAATATCAAATTCAGCCACAAGGGGAGTTCAAAGTCTTTAACAAATAGATGAAACTAAATGTGCACCTGTCCTCTTCAGTTTGAGATTGGACCAGATTATCCAGGTATGCCAGGAAGTGGCTTTGCTGAGCCATGGTCATGATATCAGCAGGAGTTACCGTGGGGTAAAACTGGGTAAACGAGCGCACAGCCGCCTCCCCGTGCTTCTCATACAGCCTGGATGACAACAGATAACTTGCTTAACAAGACGTCACTGTGATATAAAGTACGAGTTGATCAAAAGTAAATGTGTGTACTGACCTGTGTAAGTGAGCGAGGAGAGGGGGGGCACCGCAGGGCTGCAGCTCTCTCAGACTGCGCAGAGACCTCAGCAGATCTCCTCTCTGAATCACCTCCACCACCTTACTGTGCTGAGTGACATCTACAGAGAAAGACAAATACATTTTGGATTGCGGATACAAGTGAATACAGTATTCTCTCACTACCTCAGAATCAAACAGAGAAATATCACTATTAGAATATTCACCGGGTGTAGAATGTAAAAATTGAAAGACCCAGCCATGTCTGTGAAAAGCAATACCTGGCTATTCCAAAGCAAAGAGTTTTCATAAGAAGTAATAATGTTGGACATAAAAACACATTCACAATCATAGACTGGATTCTCTGTTTTAAAAATGGCTGAATGAATGTTTATTATTGCTCAACTGATGTCTGGCATTCAAGGGCTATCTTTGAATAATGAGGATTATTTTTTTTAAATAACATATTACTTTTACTTACATCAACTTTTTATCCCCCGACTAGAGAAATTGTTCAAATGTTACGAGCCGCTCAAAGGATAAAGATTGTTTTTGTTGGGCTGGTGCAAAGCTACGAGACACTTGCATATCAAATCAGGATTTGGTCACTAAAATACAAATGATTTTAAAAGCAGAACAGAAGCCCACTATGTTGTTGCTTGTTGAAGTGTGTTCTCTTTATATTATCTACGTTTTCTTTCTTTATGCGTGACATTTGAATTGTTAAAACGAAATACAGAAAACTGAGTTAAAACCACAGATTTAAGGAGAAGCTTCTGACCTAGCATGGCCTCGGTGAAGGAGCGCTGCACCTCGGGCTGCTCCTGGTGACACAGCAGACACATCCTCCTCACACGCTCCTGGTCCAGCAGAAAGAAGTAGCGGCGCAGGAAAGCTATGCATCCCAAAGCTGGTTCATCCTCCTCCTCCTCCTTCCTGAAGCAGCTCAGCTCCGTGTAGAGCGTGGCCAGCTGGTTGAGATCGGCCAGGAGATCCGTTGGTACAGCTTTAGGAGACGCCACTCGGACCGGATCTGGACGAGTCTCATTTGAAACTTCATGTTCTTTTTCAGAGGAGTCACACCGGTCCTCTTTTTCTCCGAGCTCAGGAGACCCCTCTGTCTTCTCCTCTGTCATGCTCTCTCTTGGTTCACCTGACGACAAGGAAGACTCCTCTTGTTGCTCTGAGCAGGCGTTTAGATAATCCCAACGCTCTTCTCCTAGACTATCTGTTATTGAATCACCTGCAGCGGCTGACCCGTGATCAGCAGGTCCGAGGATTCGCTCCAGCACCACCAGCCACTCCAGCAGAGTTTCCCCCAGGCAGTCTGGGTCCAGCAGCAACAAAGGATCTTGAATCTGGGAGCTTATTTAAAACATTTTTTTAATGTAAGTTAAAAAGAGGCTGTGAAATAATGCAATCTGGATTCTATCAAAAAGCTGGGCCGCACTTACATAGCTCGCTCTGTCGCGGACCGAAGTTCCTGCATGTCGGACTCTATGGTCGGCATTTCATCATAAACTCTGATGAAAAATATAAATTCACTTTACTTGATATAGTGTATTCAAAACAAGCCAATACTCCACAGCTTGTCCTAAAGACAAGTAGAAACATTTGAGAGGACTTATTTCTCATAGTCTCAGTAAAGTGGTTATAGTCCACGTGTTCAGGTCTTTACTCACTCATTGTCCATTTCCTCTGAGAACGAAGTTGTGGCTGAGATGTCTGCCTGTCCGCCCTCTCTGAATTCAGTCCGCTGCCAGAGCTCAGAGTTCATCTGGAGGGTGTTGATCTTCTCCGTTGTCTTCTTAACAAAACTAGAAACACTGAAAACAACAATGACTGAATATTAAAAAACAACCCTTCATAATATTACATTAGATGAGATAACACTCAGAACAGAACTACAAACGTTTTCACATGAACAATGGGTGTGGTGCTTGGAAATGAAACCTGCCACACGCTTCTCCACAGATAAACAATGTTCATTTAAAAATAANAGCCACTCCTACAATGCTGCTTTGACAGCTAGTAACTCCTTGTTCCCCACATCATCATTTCTTTCAGCTGAGGTCAACTTACGCGATAGATAGGCACAGCCTGTGCCTATCTATCGCGTAAGTTGACCTCAGCTGAAAGAAATGATGATGTGGGGAACAAGGAGTTACTAGCTGTCAAAGCAGCATTGTAGGAGTGGCTAGAACAATGTTAATTTCGTCAACGAAAACTATGACGAAAAATGTTCATCAACAACCTTTTTTACATGACTAAGACGAGACAATGACGAGCTAAAAATAGATTCTTGATAACGAAAACTATGACAATGTATATTTAGTTTTCGTTGACGAGACGAGACGGGACTAAGGTGTTAATGGTGGACTATCGGACAATCAAAATGCAGCATATTTTCCCCCAAGTGTCCGTCTTGTCTATCAAAATGCATCTTACGTTTCTAACTTGCAATATCATTATTTCCGCTCTCTTAACTCCAGAAGAGCGATCTCCCTGTGTGCTGGGGCGGGGCCTAACAGACATGCTGCAGCGGACACAGAGATCTGCCGGGGACGGAGCGTTCAGAGAGTATAGAGACACATTTTGACTAAAAGTTGACTAAAATGTAATTTTTCATCGACTAAAAGTTGACTAAACGTTTTGAGTTTTCGTCGACTAAAACTAGACTAAAACTACGAAGGATAGGACTCACTAAAATGTGACTAAAACATTTTCGTCTAAAGACTAAGACTAAATCAAAAACAGCTGCCAAAATTAACACTGCTAGAAGGGGCGGAGCAACCATTTCTTGTTTGGACTGACCACAAGAATTTAGAATATGTTAGGAAAGCCAAGCGACTAAATTCACGTCAGGCCCGGTGGACTCTGTTCTTCAGCAGATTTAACTTCACATTATCTTTTCGGCCCGGTACACAAAACCGTAAGCCAGACGCACTCTTTGAGCCTGAACATAATGCCAAGGAACCAGTATCAATCCTTCCACTGAACTGTGTGGTTGCAGGCGAATGTTGTGAGCCCGGCACCCAGCGAGTGTCCAGGCAACAACTTGTTTGTCCCTGTGTCTTTACGCTCTCAGGTAATCCACTGGGCTCACACGTCCAAGTTCACATGCCATCCGGGGGTCCAACGAACAATGTTTGCCATAAAGCAGCGGTTCTGGTGGCCGGCCATGAAAAAAGAGGCCTCCGAGTACGTGGCGGCCTGTCCAGTGTGTGCCCGGAATAAGACCTCGTCCCAGGCCCAGATGGGTCTGCTCCAGCCCCTCCCAATGCCTCAGCGTCGCCATGGACTTTGTGACTGGACTACCGCCCTCCAAAGGTAACACTACCGTCCTGACGGTGGTAGACCGTTTCTCAAAGATGGCACATTTCATTCCTCTGCTCAAACTTCCCTCTGCCAAGAAGACGGCAGAGGTCATGTTAACTCACGTGTTCAGAATCCATGGTTTCCCCAGTGACATAGTCTCCGACAGAGGACCACAGTTCATTTCCAACTTCTGGAAGGAGTTTTGCCAGCTCCTCGGCGCCACCGTCAGCTTATCTTCCGGTTATCACCCGCAGTCCAACGGTCAGACAGAGCGCCTGAACCAAGACCTCGAAACATGCCTCAGGTGCCTCGTGTCCCAGAAGCAGACCACTTGGAGCGAATCACCTTACCTGGGTAGAGTATGCCCACAACACTCTCCCCTCGGCTGCCACGGGTCTTTCCCCTTTCCAGTGTGCTAACGGGTACCAGCCTCCTCTCTTCCCTGCTAATGAGGAAGAAGTCAAAGTTCCATCCGCGCACGCCATGGTCCGACGCTGTCGGCGGGTTTGGGCCGGTGCTCGGCAGGCGCTACTCCGGACCTCGACCCGGATGAAGTCAGCGGCGGATCGTCACCGGCGTGCGGCCCCCCTCTACAGGGCGGGCCAGAAAGCCTGGCTCTCCACCAAGGATCTACCCCTACACGTTCACTCCAAGAAGTTGGCACCGAGGTTTGTGGGTCCTTTCCCAATTTCAAGAGTCATTAACCCTGTCTCTGTGCGCCTCAAACTCCCCAGATCTTTGAGGGTCCATCCCACGTTTCACGTGAGCAAACTCAAGCCAGTTCGAGAGAGCACTCTGGTTCCCGCCTCCAAGCCCCCTCCACCACCCCGGATCATTGAAGGCGGCCCGGTGTACACAGTCAGGAAACTTCTGGCGGTCCGCAAACGGGGCAGAGGATGACAATTCTTGGTCGATTGGGAGGGTTACGGCACTGAGGAGCGTTGCTGGGTCTCCTCGACTTTCGTTGTGGACAAGACACTCATCAGTGACTTCTATGATCGTCACCCTGAACAGCCTGGGCCGTCGGGAGTCGGCCCTAGATGGGTGGGTACTGTAGTGTCCCACCAATTATGTTAAGTTGTGTCATGTTTGTGATTGTCATGTTCATGTTAATTTAGTTTATGTTCCACTTCCCGTTTTATTTTTTACTCTCCTTGTCTCATTCCAGGTCCCTTTACTTCCTGCCTTGGTTCTTTTTCCCGCCATCGTCAGTGTCTGCCCCGCCCCTGATTGTTTCCACCTGTGCCCTATTGTCCTGTCTCCCCTTGTTATTTGTCGGTTTGTCTTGTTCGTTGTCCCAAGAAGCCAGATCCAAGCCATCGCTTAAGAGATTCAGTGTTTTGCCTTTTTCCCTCCATGTGAGCGCTTTACTTTAGTCATGTTGTTATTTCCTCTGAAAGAGTGATTTTGTTTTTTCAAGTAAAGATTATTTTTCTTCAAACCTTTTTTGTCTCTGGGTTGTGCATTTGAGTCCTCTAAACTATTGAGTCAAGGTTCCTAACAATATTGTGAAATTAAAACAGAACGATAAAGAAAAATACAGTTTCAATCTCTCGATTTGAAGCTTATGCATTGTGCCATGAACCTGTATGGACCTGTAACGAAAGGTAATTTATGAAGATGTTACAAATAACACACAGCATACAATGCCATAATAATTTTTGTATTATTAGTGTAGGACACTAATGTATGTATTACATCTGAAGATGTGTAGTTTTATTCATGTTTTTACATAATTGTACAGGATATTGCAATAATATTTCACATATTGTAGTTCTATAGAACTATGTGACCTGCTCCATCGAAATCAGTCGCATTGACCCAAAGACACATTTTGAGTGTTCGGCTGTTGTTATGCCTGCTGTGACGTAAAGTTACTCCGTTCTCCGCTTGTAATTATGGCGTTACAAGCTTCAAAGTTGTATTTATCATCTGAATTTGCTGGAAACAAGTTTAATATTCTGAAAGCAAAGACTTTGTTTATTTGAAATCCGATGAAAACAAAATATAACGGACCCTGCCGTGTTATCTATGATTACAATACGCCTTACATTCATAATTTCAGCGGAGAGAGGGGAAGCGGCGCTGCGGAACAGCAGAGTGGCGAGGGAGAGCTGTCATCTTCCCTTTAGGAAACTCCTTTTTGTGTCCAGCAAGAAACCAAGAGTCAATAAGTGCTTTTATTTGTACAACTAAGGTGACCTAACAGGTATACTTATTTTAACATAAACTATGCTTTTATTTGTATGTAGATTTGTCTTACTGGACAAGTAGTCTTTTTCTTAGAAAGGTTCCTAACATAGTAAAATGACTTTTTTTTCAAAGTGTGTATGTCTAATTCCTTTAAAATGCTTTTTGATATAACGCTAGGGTGGAGACCTGTGTACCTATAAACCTAAGGAAATGAAAGCTTTTGTTACTGTCACTTCTGAATAGAACAACAAATAATAAAAATAATTACATTTAACATATTTCATCAATTCAGTTAGACCATACAACTTCAAATATATGCTTCCAATGACAACTCATCACCTTAACCCTAACCCTAGTTGCCTTTTAATCGGCAAAGATGCGATTCAAAGCTGATTCTGCTCATGGCATTATTTTTGGCAGAAACACTTCCTGCTCTACAACACACGTCCAACAATTAGAAACTAAATGGTGAACATAGTGGGGCACTTAGCAGAAGAAGCTGCTTGGCCATCTGCCAAGCATCTGCCATATAAATCAGTTGTTGCAGGTAAAAGTAATGTTCATCAAGATTGTTGACGCTTACTTCCAATGTGACTGTAACAACATCTGCAGCTGATTACACCTCCATGGATATTACCATTGTACATTCAGTTCCTTATTTTAACCTACTTTAGGTGTTACGTGCCACTGCATGTTTTAACATTCCGTGACCTAACACAGCAGCAACAGGATTCATTGGTAAACCATGTTTTCTTAGTGTTGCTTGTGTGAAAGCAGAACTGGGGAAAGGAATCAGAAACAATTACAGGGGATTTATTTAAAGTTGTTTGCACTAGTCGTGGCTCTAGATTGTTGGCCGCTGACCTTTAATGGAAGTAGAAATCATAACCAGAGCATAGGAGGAAGTGGTTGGTGGATGATTGGGTCAATCAAACACAGGCTATCACGCAGGAAACTCCTTTTTGTATCCAGCAAGAAACCAGGAGTCAATAAGTGCTTTTATTTGTACAACTAAGGTGACCTATAAGGTATACTTATTTTAACATAAACTGTGCTTTTATTTGTATGTAGATTTGTCTTACTGATCAAGTAGTCTTTTTCTTAGAAAGGTTCCTAACAGAGTAAAATTACTCCGAAGTACCTATTTGGCATGGTGAGAGCTGTTTGAAAACTCTAGTCTGCAATATAGGAAAGTAGCTTCAATGCGTCCCTTGTTATCTTATTTGGTATTGGAGCACTAGACCATCTTCTATGAAAGGAAGAGAGAAAATGTGGTCCCATCCTTCGTGACGAACACAAGACAAGTGGACAAAATTGGACTTTCACAGAAACAGACGATCGTGACGCAGATCATTCAAATTAGAATTGGTTATTATGTATTTT